AACTATTAGTCTTATAGAGATAATTAAGATAATATCATGTATACAACTTTAATAAAATTATGTATGTATTTATTTAAAAAGAAGGCGTGGTCCTAAACTTTCATTACACCCAACATGACTTGCAATGCAAATATAGATACACACATACTGCATACAGGTTACGAACTCATACCTCTATATTACCAACAATTTTCAGAATTCTCATATGGCCTCATCTTCGTCAAACGGTGCATTGATACCTTTCGATATATTGGAATCAATACTTGGTAGTGTTCCAGCCGAAGCTCTGAAACGATTCAAGTTAACATGCACACGATGGAATGCTCTGTTTAAAGATAAGAGATTCATCTACGATCATTTAGATCTGGTCCAAGAACATTTCATACGGATCACTGATAAGGTTCATATCATCAATCCCACGTCTAACGCTAATCACTCCTCTTTACCACTCCCAAATGAGTTTCAAGGAAATGATAAGTTTTCTGATATTGTTCATTGTGATGGGTTATTGTTATGCAGCTTTCATGACTCCAAAAGGCTCACAGTTTGGAACCCTTGTTTGAACCGAGTTAGATGGGTCACCAAACCTAGTGTTAGGTTTTATGAACCATCAAAGCCTCAAGCTTTCTCTGACTTGTCAAGAAACCAAGATCTTCTAACAGAGCAAAACATATAACTGAGAAGAAGAAGATAGAAACAGAGCAAAAGGAAAGAGAAGAGGAGCACACAAAGAAGTTTGTTTACCCAGTTCACTTCCACAAAGGGATAGCTACGTCTGGGCCGAGACTCTCCTCGGAATCCACTAGAACAAGCAAGTTACAAAATACAAGAGAGAATCACTCTGAGAAAGAGACTCACACTTGAGCTCTCTTCTCTGCATCTCCTCTGTTTTTCAGTCTCAAGAGAAACACCAAAGCTTACACCTTTAATGGTTATCTCTCATACTTGCTTACATCTCTCACATTGTGGCTTTCTCACACACTCCTCTTCTGGCCGCTTGGCTGCGACACCCTTTATGTGCCTTAGGTTAGTGCTTATAAAGAGGCACTCCTTAGACCTAATGTTTCTGCTGGATCCACAAATGGACAAACGATCCTTCTTGGACAGCAACTGCAAAGACACCTTGTGGTCCCAAAAGCCATATCCAACCAGAGTTAATTTACTTTAACTCTAGTTACCATCTTGTTTGCCTTTGTGTAGCACTTGTGTAGTTGATAAAACTTGTTCATCAAGTTCTCATCCTCACAAATCTCCACCTGAGAACATGATGATCAAGACCAAACAACCTGCACATACTTGGGATAGAGAGAATGCCTTCTAAGCAGTTTAAACACCATAAAACCTGCTTGCTTCTTCCTGCATCAAACTTACATTTAATACACCTTCGTTGTAACGGTTAACCCCGCTGAACGAACCTGAGCCATCAACACTTTAGAACCTTTTAACACCAGTTCTAAAAACCTGCAAATCTTTAAAGGCTCTGCATATTTCACCTTAATGCAGACCAAACGCCCAGCAAATTGATTTCTTTCCAAGACCTTCAACACTTCACCGCCAAACTGAGTTTTGAAAAAATAACCAGCCTGTTAAATAACAACAGAATTCTTCATAAGCTCCACCACTTATGACTTTCAAGTCACTCAGTATCCTCTGCAGCTTCCGTTCTCACCACAGAACCGATATAGTGACAAAAAAAAAAACCAAGTTACCTTCTGCAAAACTTGATTCTCTTGCTATAGCTTCTTAGGATTTACTCATGCGCATTGAGATCAAAATCCTTTGAATTCACTTGAATCAAATGCAGAAAATACTGAATCATCTTTGCTTCAGACTTGAAGCTCTTGATTCACCATGTAGAAAATCTCACTAACCGGTTAAGTATCCAGTATAACCTGAGACTGAACCTTTTCTACAACAATCTGTTTCACACATTCTGAACTTGAACATAAACCTTGTTCAATCCCTTTGTTAAAACAAACTCATCACCAGCAGATTTTAAGCACTACCAGCAACCTTTACATGTCTCATATCAACAACTCCTTGTGATAACCCTGAGACAAACATGTACAGCTCCTTCAACACCAAATCTAGAACCCTGATGCTTTCCTGCTGTAATTTCAATCTGCTATGCATATTGACTTGCATGCAAACTCCACCAAAACTTAGTACCATCATCACTGACAATTTTCAGACTCTAGCTAGAGCCTTTGTCTTCTTTATGACTCTTTGATACTTGAAAATTACTCACTTGACTAACCTGCAAGTGATTCTTCCCTGAGAAGATACTTACATAACTCCTCCTCTTAGAGCTTCTTTTCATATTCTTGAAGTAATCAACCTTGAGACAATTCCTGTATCGCACTTGTCTCTTTCAGTTTCTTCTTCTAAGATTCTCACTGAATCACTTCAATAACTAGCTCTTAATAAATTTCCAGAAATCTGTAACCCTTTTTTCAAGGAACTTGCAACTCTTTCAAGAGAAAAAACTTGCAGCTTGATTTCTTACTCCTTGTTAACAACCAGTTCTAAACCAAATCTGTAAGAATCATTTTCAACTCAGATTATAACCGTTGAACTTGTTGATAACCACCTGTTCTTGGTTTTCCTTCCCTTGTGATAAACTGAACTTCCATGAATCTTAACCAACAGATTTAAGCAGCTTTTAGACTAACCCGTTGAGCTCAATATCCAAGACAACCTCCATGAACATAGCTCCTCCAGAAACTAAAAAAAATGGAT